AACCAACAATAGGACTAAACAAAAACATTTGGGTTTTCTAAAAAGAAATGCCACTGCCCTCAATCTGCTGAGTTTTAGCTTCCTCAGGATCTGTTGGTGCCACAGCATGTCTGAGATATTGGGACTAGCAACCTGGTCTAGTGGAAGGTGTCCCTGCTGATGGCAGGGGGGTTGGAACTGGATGAGCTTTAAAGTCCCTTCCAACCCACACCACTCTAGGATTCTATGATTTGGATGCTGCAGAGTCACCATCAGCCAGAGGAACTCAATATTTAATGAGGTGAGCTCATGGACATCCCATCTGCAGGGGTTAACTGATTTCCCAGCCATGCTGATGTTTCTCATGAAGCTTGTAGGAACTTCATCTCCTTCCTTTTCCCTACCCTGCAAAACCTTCTCAAAGTTGGAGAACAGGTTGGAAAGAAGCAAGATGGGACAGATCCAGTGCCTGATGACTTAAGAAAAGGAGACTTAGGAAGAGAGGCTTGGAGAGCCAGGCTAGAGTTCAAGTGAGTCACCGACCAGGCACCAAGCAGAATCTGCCTCTTGTCTTCTCCACTCCCTCCCATCAGGTGTTCCTATGCATTTAGGAGGAAATTTTTCACCCAGAAGTGTGACACTGGTCCAGGTTGGCCAGAGAAGCTGTGGCTGGTCCTCCCTGGAAGTGCTGAAGGCCAGGTTGGATGAGGCTTTGAGCAACCTGATCTAGTGGAAGATGTCCCTGCTGATGGCAGGGGGGTTGGAACTGGATGATCTTTAAGGTCCCTTCCAACCCAAACCATTCTATGAAATATTTTCTATAGCCGTGACCCCAGCTCTACTGATGGACGTCTCACAAGGTTTTGCTTCAGTCCTTACCACCCTCCCATTGAAAACATCTGCCTGCCTTCCTTTAGAGAGTTCAGTGCAAGCATAAAATCTTCACCAAATGAATTGTTTATTCATCATGGGCAGAGCTGGTGTCAAAGGACCAAAATAAGGGGAGCAGAGCTCTGCAAACCACGCACGGACTCAGAGGCTCAACCTTCTCCTTTCCATGCAGCCCTGCAGACCAAACCGCTCCTCTACCACCACAGTCTGTGTTCAGCTGTAGGAGAAAACACACATGAGCTGAAATGAAAGTAGAATTTCAGACAAGAGCTTAAGAACCAGCACGAGCTGAAAAAGAACCAAACTTTCAGGCAAGTCAATGCACACACACATCCCCCCCAACGGAAAGTGAAGGCAATACTAATAAAGAAGATTCAGCACCGTAATTAAAGAAGTTTTTAGAGTCTTCAAGGTTTTAATTTGAACAGACATCTCTACTATGTTCTCAACGTATCTACAGCAAAGTTTACAGCCACTTTGTATCTGTTTTTCCTCCCCTCAAATGGTTAAACAATTTGAACCATGATTTTTTTTTTCTTCCTCAAATTTGTCACTTCTTTCTGCAAGATATTCAACACCACAGCAGCTGGGATTCTGTACACGTACAGTAGACATCTAACAAACAGCACACAACTCCCAGCCCTGTTATTTATTTCATTAAAAAAAATAAAATAAAATAAAATGAAATAAAAATAAAAATGAGGATTGATGAAAAAGCCAAGTCCAATTAGCAATTCCAGATGTTTGGACAGAAGTGCACTCGTCACTTAAATTTGAGTTAACAGATACATAGCACACATCACACAGTGCTATTTAATATCACAGTTACACAAAAAAAAAAAAAAAACCCCAAAAAGAGTGCTAGTAATAGACTTTTTCCCCCCCCTCATACAGGAACCTGTACACGACAGCACTTTCCAAGGCTTTAGCAAAGCAGGCATCAGACGCCAATACGCTGTTACAGTGCAATTTAAATTATACCATTATGCAACATGGACAATAGTGCACTTCAACTGGTCGCCACATTCAAGAGTTAAATCCATACAATCAAAATATTGAAAGTACATATTCCCTTATGAAAACTGTGCAAGTTAGTTCCTTTTCCCTTTTTTTTTTTTTTTTTTTCCCCTTTTTTTTTTTTTTTTGGTAAATGGCAGAGTGTCCACATTGATTGACCCCAGAGTTTGGGGAAGAAGGAGGAAGGGAGGGGAGGGGGCCCTCAGTATCCAGCTTATTACACAAATAGCTATGTGCAAAAGAGCAGAAAGCAGGGGTGTCAGGAAAAGTGTAAGGCAGTGTTGGATTGAAGAGCCAGAGCTGGGCACTGCCACAGTGCTTACAGCTCAAGGAGATGCAGGGAACCTGCAAAAAAGGGTGTCAAGTGACTTCACGGGGCAGAATCCAGCAGATACCCCCCTCTAAGAGGAAGCAAGCTGATCACCGATATTAAATATGTGAATAAATACAGTGGACATGCAGGTACACAAAGAACTAGAGTGCTCTGGTGTGTATCACCACTATTCACCAGACTGGTGCCTGGGAAGCACTGGGAATTTAAAGGTTAAAAGAGAATGTGCAAGTAGCCTGACACAAGAGGTCTGTGAACTGTTTTCTCCCAGGACGACCTCCAAGGGTCCACACATCTTCTCTCAACTCAACCAGGACTGCTCCAGGTAACGTCCCATGGAGGTGATTATTTGCAGGTTAACTTAAACCTCCAGCTCCTGCTGTTTGCAGTGAATACAAGGTGATGCATGGCAGAGGAATTGGGGAAAAACCTGCTGGGGCTGCCCAGAAACGGTGGCATTTTCACATAAGGATCCACATTCCCACTAAGCCAAGGCAAGCTCACAGCACTTGGGTGTGGATTCAGTCCTGAAACACAAGTGGAGGATGAAATGCCAGCTCAGAGAGAATTTTCTGCCTTTTGTTAGCTTTTTCAGACAGTTACCCCATTTCCTCAGATGCCTGCAGTTTGCATGAGACTCCAGAGCAGCCAGGCAATTAGATTTAACAAAAACAACCCAACAAACAAACCTCTTTGCTTCTATTATTTAGCTCAATATATAATTACTATGTTAGGAAATTACATAACCTTTAAGTGTGTTTTATGTATAGCCTATTATGGGGGGAAAATAGTGCCTTTGACTCCTTCCCATCTGGTAAGTGATAATGTATTTTAGATGTACAGGAACAGTAGAAATTCTGAATTGGACAGGGATACAACATCTAGGTGGGTGCAGATCCCACAGACATCATTTTAAAGGGTGAGTAATAATCTTAAGGGCTTACATTTGCTCCAGAAGCCAGTGTTTGGAGGTGAGAGGAACTTGTGCCTCCCCTGTTACGTAGTACAGATCACCAGCCACCCTGAGCAGCATTCCCTATGTCAGGCTTGATTTAGTGAACAAGACTGTGGCTCTCCAAACCTAAAAAGGAATTGGTATTTCAAGTGTGTGTGTGTGTGTGTGGGGGGGTTGTTTGGGGGGGAATTCTTCTTCTGCATTAAGTGAATAACTGTTTAAAAGGGATCTTTTAATTTTTTTTTTAAGCCAGATGACTTTAGGACTAAGTTTAAGTTACCCAAGAAGAAAATCATTAAGGAAATAAGGACTTAAGCAAAAGGTATTAAGGTAGCACTTAATCACTATCACATAATTTTATATAGTTTCCTTGGTTATAGAACTTTTTTTAAGAATATATTTAGTGGTTACATGATTTTCACAGATTACTTTCCAGATACTTCTACTTCAACTCAAGATCCTCCAATGTCACATATATCTACCCATCTTTATATGAAGTGGCTTTTAAATAAAGGCAGCTTCACTCCAAAGCAGCATAAATTGTCACAGAAGCTCAACACTTTCCAGAGATCAGTGCTGACCTAACGCAGCTCCATTCATTTCAGTAAAAACCAGGCTAACAGCAAGCACCTTTTAAGATAATCCCAGCCACATGCTCTGTTATTAATTCAAGTCTTCTCAGTCATGTACAGCTACCAAAGGAATCAAGCTGAACAAGTGTCTAGGTGAGTTAATATTTCAGATCCACTTTTATCTGTCTTTTTAAAGGAAGGGGAAAAAAAAATCTCTAAGAAAAACTGATTTCATAAAAAGAGCAGATTGCAGCCACAGAAACACAAAGAACAGCTACAAATTACAAAGTTACTTGGAAAAAAAGCTTATCCCTAAAGTCTTTAAGCAGTTTGAGCAGCTACAATCTAAACTATTAGCATTTTTGTAGTGTGATGGCCTCTTAATCTGCAGCAGCTACTTGATATGTTAGATCACCTTAACTCCCAACTTCTGCTTTTGATGTTTCACAAGACATTTAGTAAGAGCATAAGAGGAAAAAGCACACCAGGCAGAGCAAAAGTGTTTTGTTGAGCTGTAGATTAAGCACTGCTCTTGCACTCTAGCAATGCTGTGAACCTGTTCAAACGTACAAAACCAGGCAGGGCAGCCTGAAATTTCAAGTAGGCAGCTTGGCTCTAGTTAAAAGGACAGCTCTGAGCCACTGTTTTGCAAGTGAACACCTCTGCCAACTACTTAAACCTTTTTGTTTTCCAGGTAGAATAAATACATTTATTCCTTAGGACATATTTGTCCACGATGGATAATTCCACCTGAAGGCCATGGCTTAAACATTTAGCAGCAGCATCTCTACTTCAGTTCTGTATTGCACTGAAATTTCTAGCTCTGGTTTGGTATTCAAAACTTACTGCTCCCAAGCCAATGCTTAACACACAAAAAAAACCCCCAACAAACAAGTGTTAGATGTGAAGGCTACTGAGAGTATCATATAAACTGGCAGAATCTAAAGTTAGATTATGCCATTTTCTATTCTTTTTTTCTAGGAAACCACCTAAGCTGCCTTACTCACTCTTGGAGAGAAAAGGTGCTTTCAGACAAAATGCCTTTACCTGTCTATACATAACTTCATATTTTGATCCTGCTGAGCATTTACAGAGTTCAACAAAATCAGGAAAAAGTCCCCCCCCAAAAAATGTCAAACATCCTGTCTCTTGGCCCATCCTAATCATCCACAGAGTTGGGTGGAGGGAAGAGTTCCAGCTTCTGCTGACACTGTACACAATTTTGAGACGGAAAAGCTGCCAAGAGAAGTCACTATGCCCAGTTGTGTATGTCTTCTGTAAACAAAACAGAAATCCCTCCCAAAAAGCAGGGAGGTACATAGTGTAAAGTGAAGGTTTCAGCAGCAGGAGGACTGAGGGTCAGCTGCACCCAGAGGGCTCTGCAATACATGCACTTCCCATGTTTAGTCTTTTAACATAAAGGGGACTGGAAAGGAAAGACCTGAGGCAAAGCCCTGCCAGCTCACAGGTTCTCCTGCATCCTATCATTTGTTTCCATCTCTGCTAGCTGCCTCCTCAAGGCATTAACCTTGGCCTGAAGTTCCTTGTTGTATTTTATAATGTTGATCATTTCTTCCTGGGCTTCATCTAGGAACTTGGAAGGCCTGTTCCATCGAAGAAAGACACCTGAAAGACCAGAGATGGCACAAGTCAGAAGAGTTTCTTGTTACGAGGAGGAAACGTTATTCATATTCCATCAGCTCTCAAGTAATGTGCATACAGTTTACACATTTCTTCCCCTCCTTCCCCTCTAAATATCATTTAGAGGCAGTTACCCTCCTCTTCAAGTTCACCATTCTATTAAACAAGGTTATAAAAAAAAAAAATAAAAAAAAAATGAAGTGTTTCAATCCTTTTTTTCCCCTCATACACTGATCAGACCAATCCATATTCAGCCTCCACCCTGTCATGCTTGCTTCACTAATTAACTCATCAGCGTACATGGGATGGAGAAAGTTTCTGTAGCAGGGAACCTACAGCAAATAGATTATCCTGGCTGACACAGTTGGTAATGGAGAGAGGGAAGTCTTGGTTGATACAAAATAAAACCCTTAGGTTTACACAACACCTATAAATTAAGCTGGATTACTGCAGAAATACCGTGCTAAGAAGTTAAATGGTACTAGGAAGGCTCCCTGGCAAAGAGTAACATGTCACCAAACCTTAGAAGGAGAAAACATTACACCTCTGGGGATGGTACATGCCAAAAATATTTTGGAACAGATTTCAAAGGGAGTGAGATCATCAGCACCTGAGACAGACTAAGCACAGAGCAGACACAACAGGAGTGAACACTTAAGAAGTTTTACAATTATCCACAAAATATAGGTTGCCTGTAAGAGAAGAAGCAAGCCTGGCTTACCTTCCCAGAGCTGCAGGCTCTGCGGGGCAACGGAGGGCCAGATGACAAGGCTGTTGGCCTCAAAAAGAGGATTTTGGAATTTGCTCAGCTCTTCAGACCTGTTCACCCAGGACCACAGGGACATAGTCTTTTGTGGCAGTTTCAGTTTAGACCTAACAAATCCACAGGAAGGAGTTAAGCTTTCACTTTTATACTGTAAAGACTCGTTTTGTTAGGATCCCACAGACTAGAATGCTCCAAGCTTTCCCGTGTGCTACTAACCCAGGCAGTTCAGACTAATCCCTTCAATACCTCTCACCAACATGGCACAGGGTGTAAACCTGAAGTGATTTACTCAACAATTAGTTTCAAAGAAAAGATGGGGAAATAACACTTGTAAGTTGGGTGGAAGCTACCTGCCTTCTGTCCAGATGAAGAATTAGTCATCTAATGGGGCCCACAAGGAAGCTGGGGAGGGACTTTTCATAAGGGCAGTTAGTGACAGAACAAGGGGTGATGGCTTTAAACTGGAAGAGGGGAGATTGAGATGAGATGTGAGGAAGAAATTCTTTGGTGTGAGGGTGGTGAGACACTGGCCCAGGTTGCCCAGAGAAACTGTGGATGCTCCTCCTTGGAAGTGTTCCAGGCCAGGTTGGATGAGGCTTTGAGCAACGTGGTCTAGTGGAAGGTGTCCCTGCTGCTGGCAGGGGGGTTGGAACTGGATGAGCTTTAAGGTCCCTTCCAACCCAAACCATTCTATGATTCTGTGATCTCTCCAAAATGGCTTGACTGCCAGGTTTTGAAAGGGATTGAATTCCTGTGATAAGACAGAGCTGGTAGGTCTGCATCAAGGAAGGATCATCGTGCAATTCTCATAGTACATCAAAGCCACATTACTGCTGGAATTGGACAATGGGCACGTCTGATTAGGTCCCTCTGGTGGCAGGAAGCATCAGAGCACAGAGAGAAATCAGTGCTGTCTTCCTGGGTCAAACCCACCTCCAGGAGTTACACAGGGGTCTCTAATTCCTTAGATTCTAGCAAATCTCATTCTGCTTGCACTGCCAAATTGAACCACCACTCAGGCAGGAGATTCACCATCCCTGTGAACGCTTCAGACAGCACAAGCTTAACATCAGACTTCAAACATTTTCTGTGCTCACAGGGTGACATGTTCAGATGTGACAAGCAGGTTACTACACGTAACAGTCAATACTCTTTCAAATTTCATCTTATTGGTTTCAAGTCTAACTTGGTTTTGCAGATGACCAGCTCAGCAGCCCTGCTGAAGACAGATGAATCTCTTCTAAGCTAAGATTACTTAAAGGGCAGAGAAGAAGTTTTAAATTGCTTTCCATATCTGTAATGTCAGCGTTGTTTTCCCTTTTTACTCATTCAGGGGTCTTCAGTTAAGCAAGAGACCATCAGACCTGGTCTTACTGGAGTCAGGAGTCCTGGGAACTGAACTGCCAAATTCAAAACAGGAATCTAAACTTCTCTGGCAGCTGCCATCTGTGATGGGAGGCTCCCATCCTCCCAGGCTCCACCCTGTTTACTACTCCTAGCAGACCTACTCAGGGCATGCCTAGAGTTGCCCCACTGGTACAGCACAGCATCTAACCCAGGCTAAGATTGAGAAGCTGGGTGCTGGTCTGCTCAAGTACCTTCAACACCACAAGCTTGTAAGCAAGCTCAGCACAGGCCTATCATTACCTGCCAAGGTAGACTCCAGCAGAACACAGTCCCAGCTGCTTCCTTTCAAAGATGCACGAGCATCCACCTGAGAGTTCAGAACTTCAGCCACTGCAGACTGCCAATCACACTTCTTCACATCACAGGTTACAACTGGAAGGATTTTTTGTCCTTCTGTTAAAGTTATACCACTGCATAGCCAAAAAGACCTCAAATCTAATCGTGATGTTCAGAGCCAAACATGTAAAGCTTTTGCCAACATGTAACTGTGAGGCAGATCCTTCTGACAGAACATCTTCCATGGTTTCCACTTTCAGCAGTTAATGGATGATGCAAAAACCAAAGCTTTCCTTTCCTGGGGATGTCAGGACCACCAGGCTACAGAGCCATGTTCCTCACTGACATGGTTAAGAACCAGACATTCCAGCTTTGGCCTCTGACTGCCTTGACCTTCTCCTCCAAGCATGGACAAGTTTGCTTCCCACATGTATGACTCGCATCACTGTCTTACTCTAGCTGTTTATTCTTTTATGGAAAGAGTTTCTCCCTAAGAGACTATATAAACTGGTGATGGGTGGAGAATTTTCAAGGCCACACAGGGAAATAGAAAAGACAGTCCAAGGTATTAGCTTGGACTTGGAGAAGCTGAGAGCTGGGACTATTCAGCCTGGAGAAAAGAAGACTGAGAGGGGATCTTATCAAGGTCTATAAACATCTGAAATGTGGGGGCCAAATGGATGGGGCTGGGCTCTTCTCGGTGGTGCCCAGTGACAGGACAAGGGGCAATGGGCACAAACTGGAACAGTGGAAGTTCCAGACAAACATAAGGAAAAACAACTTTACTGTGAGGGTGCCAGAGCCCTGGGACAGGCTGCCCAGAGAGGGTGTGGAGTCTCCATCTCTGGAGATGTTCCAAACCCACCTGGACGCTTTCCTGTGCAACCTGATCTGGATACCTGCTTTGTCAGGAGGGTTGGACTGGATGATCTCCTGAGGTCCCTTCCAACCCCCACCACTCTGTGGGTCTGTCATTCTGTAATTCTACTCCCTGACCAAGCCACAGATTGCTTCAGTCACAATGTCCCACTTGTAAGAGTGACAAGCTCCCTAACATTGCAGCAGACCACATAACTGCAACCCATCTGTGCTAGGGGAAACCACATAAGCACCCTCACCCTTCTTCAAACCAAGAGTTTGAGGTTTTTTGGTCAGATACAGCCCAATATTTAAAGGGTTTGAAGCAAACATCCTCACCCACCTTTCATTTTCGTTGTTTCCCAGGAAAGTCCCAAACTGTGAAGCGTAAGCATGTTCAAAGAGCATAATGAGGAACTGTTCATTGAATTCAAAAGAGCAAGGGAACTGACGAAGGATTTGCCACACACAGTCCAAAAAGAGGAGAAAAACTGGGGCCTCCCATTTCTGCTTGCTGTTTGAATAGGCTGATTGGGCACAGCGCTGCTGAAAAGGGTGACCAGCCTACACGTAAGAATCAGAGAGAGAGAGAGAGAACATCACACACAGAGGAATGGGATGTGAGTACATGTAGCAAAAAGACTTCAGAGCTAAGTTCTCTTCATGCAACTATGCTATTATTATTTTTTCTATGACTGACTTTGTTAAGCATTCAGTAACAAATTGCTAGTAACCATGACCAACTTTGCTGCCTTTTATCAAACAGCCCCGTATTTGATCGGAGATTTTTACCAAGAACAAACTGGTGTCAGTGCACTGAAGATCCAGGCTGAGGATATTATAGTTGCAAGAGTACAAAGAGTAGAACTTAAGGTTTTGTTGTTTAGTTTGTTTTCAGCATCTCCTATGAGGACAGGTTGAGAGAGTTGGGGCTGTTCAGCCTGGAGAAGAGAAGGCTCCGGGGAGATCTTCTAGCGGCCTCCCAGTACCTGAAGGGGTTCCAGGAAGGCTGGGGAGGGACTTTGGACAAGGGCAGGGAGTGACAGAACAAGGGGAAATGTGTTTAAACTGAAAGAGGGGAGGTTTAGATTAGATATTAGGAAGAAGTTCTTCACTGTGAGGGTGGTCAGAAACTGGAACAGGTTGCCCAAGGAAGTGGTGGATGCCCCCTCCCTGGAAGTGTTGAAGGCCAGGCTGGATGAGGCTTTGAGCAACGTGGTCTAGTGGAAGGTGTCCCTGCTGATGGCAGGGGGGTTGGAACTGGATGATCTTTAAGGTCCCTTCCAACCCAAACCATTCTATGATTCTAGTCTGAACAGTGTTCTCTAACGAGATGTTCACCCTGAACACACAAAACAGGCAGTTCCCCAAAACCAAAAAGCTATCGTGAGAGGAAGAGGCCACATGAGTGCCAGGGGTACAAATGACTCAGTTAATGATGTTGCTTTTAGGACAAAAGGCCATTCACACTAAGCAAGGCTGCAACAAGGCCCAACCTGTCTGCTGCCTCTCAGGCTATTTCTCAATAGTACTGTCACTGGAACAGATTGGCATTTTGTCCATAGGTATTTCTTACCTGTAGCCACTCCCTCACAACAAGAGATTCAAAGCCACGTATGGTCCTGCACCTTGGATCCAAGATAATCTGTGCCAGAGAAGTTACCTGGAGTGTGGAATCCGTTCCTTCAGTCCCATGGACTAACACTGATGCACCTTCCCTGTGAATGAAAAAGGTGGAAAGGATTAAGAGTGTGAATGAGCAGAACACATCCCAAGGACACATGCATCCCAACGAATGCCAATGTGTCCCATGGACACCAGTGTTGCTACCTTGAGGTTTTTCTGGCTCTTTACCCCTTCCTCCCACCCATAAGCTTATTCCCCACCCTGCATGGAAGCACATCACCTTCTCCACCTGGATCCTCACCAACACTATCTAGAGTTCTACATCATTTAAGGCTTAGATTCTTGCTAAGCATTCTAGAAATCCAGAACCTTTGCCACGCTGACCAAAGATGTGCAGCAAAATCTCTTTTGTGATGCTGAACTAGTACTCCTCTGAGTTATAGCATGGAAATGCACCTCAGAATTTATTTGTGTCACTTATTGTTTTGCTAAATACTCTGGAATATTTCCATAAGCACTGCAATGAAGACACACCATCCCTCCAGATGCTCTGCAAAACAATACTATGAGGTTCTTGCTCAAACCTGGGCTTAATTGCATTTGGACCTCAATTAGGATTTACTGCAAGCAAAGTAAGACAATATGCCAGTTCAGGAGAAAGACAGAAAGAGAAGGTAGAGCTTGGCCTCCAGAAAGGCAGCAGAGTTACTGTGCTGAGCAAGGAAGCTTGTCAAAGAGCCAAGCACAAAGGCTTCTCAACCACGAGCCAGCACAAGTGAATCAGCAGAACAATGTGAGTGAGGAGCAGAGGCAGCACGGAGAGTTTGGGACAGGAAGATTTTGCACATTGCTAGGGGCCCACGTGCTGTCACTCCCCACGCTGCCCAGGACAGCTGGTTCCCTCCCCTCTTCCTTCATCCTAGGCTATGTCTGGATACAATATCAGAATCTCATCCACGTGCTCCTGAAGGAAGGCCCAGATGGTATGAAATGACATTCCTTCCCAAACCTTGACCCAACGTCTCACTTGTGCCAACATTCTTACACCCAGAAAGGAAATGAACTGCAGGTTGTGTCTGTTTCTGCGCAGAGGTAATGTCATGAGGATGGAGCCAGGCTCTTCTCAGTGATGCCCAATGGTAGGACAAGGAGCAATGGGTGTGAGCTGGAACACAGGAGGTTCTGCTTAAACTTGAGAAGAAACTTCTTTACAGTGAGGGTGACAGAGCCCTGGGACAGGCTGCCCAGGGAGGGTGTGGAGTCTCCTTCTCTGGAGACATTCAAGACCCACCTGGACACCTTCCTGTGTGATCTCATTTAGGTTCCTGCTCTGGCAGGGGGATTGGACTGGATGATCTTTTGAGGTCCCTTCCAATCCCTGACATTCTGTGATTCTGTGAGGTAAGCAGCAAAGTGTGGGTGAGAAAGATCAATCTACAAAAACATGAAACCCTGCAGACATGGCTTATTTTTTGAAGCAAAAAGCATAAAAATCTATACTTTAAACACTGCAGCATCTTTGCCTATAATCTTATGTCTAAAACAAACCCAGTGCCTCTACCATATAGATAATCTTCCTCTCCTTCTCTCATAATGCTATTTTCACCTTCCATCTTCCTGGCCTTAAGATCTTGAAGATGCTGCAAGATCTGTCCCAGCCATTCCCCCCCTGCAGCCAATATAACTGACCCACCCTTGTCAGCTCAGCTACAATCTCCAGGCTCAGGATGAGGTGGGCCAAGGACCAATGCTAAGCTGGCCTGCCACAGTTTCAGGTAAACAGAAAAAGCAAAGCTGAGGTTAAAAATGATGAAATTGTCCACTGTCCTAACAAGCCAGAAGAGTTTCATCACTGATCTTTCTCATTATACACACGTGGGAAAGAATTGTAGATAAAACTATCGATCAAGAGCAATTTTCTATCACAGTCAATAACTAAACAAGCACTGTCAGTGCTTTTAAAAAGCACAGCATCTCATTTTTTAATGCAGTAATGCTGTTTGTTACCAATGAGACTGCATTTCAGCCTCCTTGTTTATCTGTAGAACACATTCCCTAGCTGCTATGAAAAGTTAGGTTTGCCCTGAGCTTTGAGAAGAGCTTTCCTCTCTCAAAGCCACTAAGAAATCACATTTCAACCCCAGCATTTGGTCTCACAAACCCTGGCACCTGATAGCTAATGTTTGCTCCCCAGCCTGAGGTCTGAAGCCAAGTTAGCTAAGTCAGCAGTATTTATTAAAGAAATGTCAGGTTAAAAGAGGTCACAAGCACTTATAAGGGATGAACAGGATTGCTTAGATAGGACTTTGGGCATAAAAAATTCAAGAGGAAAAAAAAATCACTGGACCAATTCCTGGGGAAAACAAGGAAATGCCATTGTTTTAATGTCTAGAAGTGAGGTACTGGAAACTTTCAGCTGAAAAAACCCCTCTTTTTTAAAAACCAAACCCCTCTGTGTCCTCACTTTACTAGGCTACCAAACACCATTTCAGATGGGCACATTCTAACCTAAATCTTCAATAAAACTAATTAAATTAGATTGCTTGCATCAGATGTAGGAATATACCTTAACTACATGATCTAATACCTATTCTTAGACAAGATTTCCTCCTTCAGGCTTGTACTTCTAAAAATGTAAACATGATTTACTGAAGGAACATTCCTTAACCATGATGAAACAGTATCTTGCATGGGTACCAGCAAGCCATTTCAGTGGCCAGTTACTGATACTTAAAGTGGAAACAGCGGCATTTAACAAGAAATCTGTAACCAGTGAATGAAAAACTCACAACAGAAGGACATGGACCTACTGGAGCGAGTCCAGAGGAGGCCATGAGGATGATGCAAGGGCTGGAGCAGCTCTGCTGTGAGGACAGGCTGAGAGAGTTGGGGCTGTTCAGCCTGGAGAAGAGAAAGCTCCGGGGAGACCTTCTAAGGGCCTCCCAGTACCTGAAGGGGCTACAGGAAAGGTGAGGAGTGAATTTGGCCAAGGGCAGGGAGTGACAGAACAAGGGGTGATGGTTTGAAGCTGGAAGAGGGGAGAGGGAAATGAGATGTGAGGAAGAAACTGTTTGGTGTGAGGGTGGTGAGACACTGGCCCAGGTTGCCCAGAGAAGCTGTGGATGCTCCTCCCTGGAAGTGTTGAAGGCCAGGTTGGATGAGGCTTTGAGCAACGTGGTCTAGTGGAAGGTGTCCCTGTTGCTGGCAGGGGGGTTGGAACTGGATGATCTCTAAGGTCCCTTCCAACCCAAACCACTCTGGGATTCTACAATAACTTTCTGAGAAAGATTTACCTATCGATACACTGAGCAGCTAGACAAGCTGCAGTGAGTATCTCCTTGATGTGAGTCAGCCAGTTGGAAGCTTCCAGTTTACTGAGCCAGCGGTCCATATTGTGCGACTGGTCATTACAAGCTTCCACAAGTTTGATGAGACTTTCCTGCAGAATATTAAACCTTTGGGAAAAAGAAAATATTACTGAAAACATAAGCAGTGACACAGCAACCAGGACAAGACACTTACACAGAAATACACTGATTTCAAAAATAAAGCACCATTTATATGCAGTTATTTCAAAAAGTCTGACCCTGGAGAAGTCGCATCTCCTCATTCAGCAACCTGCTTTCACTGGTAATGCCAAATCATGGCTAACTGTCAGTAGAATATCACTCTTTGGACATAAATAGTCTCCTGTCTTTCAAAAGAAATTGCTATAAAAGGCATGACAACTGTACAGCCTCTTCCAGGCTTCTTTAACAGGTTGCCCAAGGAAGTTGTGGCTGCTCCTCCCTGGAAGTGTTCAAGGCCAGGCTGGATGAGGCTTTGAGCAACCTGGTCTAGTGGAAGGTGTCCCTGCTGATGGCAGGGGGGTTGGAACTGGATGAGCTTTAAGGTCCCTTCCAACCCAAACCATTCTGTGATTCTATGATTCCTTATCTCACCTGAACTCTGTGTGTGTCCAGCCACACTCTCCGTGTCAAATGTGTTTCAGTAGTTTCATTCTCATTACCAAATACAAGCGAGATGCAACCTGGCATGGACATTAGCAAGTGTCAGCCAAGCTTCAAGTGGTGCACCTGCATTCTCTGTACTACACCAGAAGTTTTGGGGGAGTTTTAACCTGTGGAGCTGCAAGAGTAATCTGAAAACCATCCCTCACAAGGACACAACTCCACTGTAATGCAGAAAACTCTAAACTACACTCAGCTTCTCAATATAGAACCACACTAAGATTATTTTGGCTAATTTCTTCAGAATGTAAGAAAAATGGGGGGGGAAGAGAACATTTTGTATCACTTCTGTATTTGTTGCATCATGTCCTCAAGCCCTGGAAAGCTGGTGTTCAGCATGCAGCTGATAAAAACCAGATGCTGTTCTGATCTTGTTTCACACTCTGCCTTCCAGGGGCACCAAACTACTGATGGATCAGACACCACTTAATGCTGATTCCAGCGTGTGCTGAGGTCTAACAGAGGATGCAACCAGCAGATTAGACCTCAGAAAAGCTGACAAAGCCAGCATGAGATATTAGCATGAGATATTTAGTTTTCACATATTGTAGTTTATTCATCCCTCTCTATCTGATACTTATATCCACCTGTAAAATAATCAAACATGAAATTTAAGTCCATGTACAATTTTTAGAAGGAAAACCAAATACTTCAAAGCAACAGCCAGGAAATTCCTTGCATTAGCTCCTGAAGAGAGTGATGACAGGAGTGACTGCTTTCCAATAGCTCCAGTAACATTACTGCATGCCTGTGTAGAAAGATTCCTCAAAACTCAGCTTAAGAGCAGTTGAACAAGGTCAGACTAAAAATCTATTTAACTTAGTAACTTGTCTCCAAATGACCAAACAATCTTAGATGTCCAGAGCAAAAGTACTGGAGAAGAGGAGTGTGACTGCCACAGAACAAATCCTCACCTCCAGAAACTTCCTGGCAAGGGACTCGCTCATTCCTGTGCACCACTGCAAAGGGGAACACAGGAAGGCTGGAGTACAAATATAGATGGTCTGAGAAAGAGATGGCACAGGGAGATTGCCTGATGTCTGAAACCTGCAGCAGGTTGTTCAGAACAAGGAACCTAACACAGCTTTCCAAAGCCAAAGTACCTTTATTACTCACATACCCTGATTTTGCCAAAAAAGGAACATGACTGTTGACAGAAGCCAGAACACACAGCTCCTTCTTACAGAAACAAATACTTTATGGATCCAGAATGGTTCTACCAAAGCAACCCTACAAAGCCAAGCACAGAGAAGAGCCTGTATGATTTCACCCACCTTTCAATACATTTGTGAATCCTCCTCCACTGGGGATAGTGTGCTTCTTGTTCAAAGCCCCCTCCTTTGGCCCTGGCCTGCTGGGCAACGTTCAAGGACCTGGTATCAATGATGTAGCCACGCTTGCCAGGCCGTAGTGTGGCGTTAATAAGCTTCTCATCTTCTTTACACCGTCTCCCATTTGTACCTGTAAGAGGCTGGCTACTTCGCATCATGACCTGCAGACACAAATAACCATGGATTAGGCATTGGAAAAGGACATATTTAAGATTGAAAGGCACCAACCTCTTGAGCTCCAAGCCAAGAATGGAGATTTAAACTCACTATGCAAAGGACACCCCTTCACTAGAGGATTTGTGTCTCCAGAGAAGGGCAATGGAGCTGGTGAAGGGTCTGGAGCACAAGTCTTATGAGGAACAGCTGAGAGAACTGGGGGTGTTTAGCCTGGAGAAAAGGAGGCTGAGGGGAGATCTTCTGGTTCTCTCCAACTCCCTGAAAGGAGGGTGTAGAGAGGTGGGTCTTGGCCTCTTCTCCCAAGTTACAAGCAATAAAAAAAAAAGAGGAAACAGCTTCAAGTTGCACCAAGGAAGGTTTAGATTGGACATAAGGAAAAATGTCTTCACCAAAAAGGATTGTCAAGCATTGGAAGAGGCTGAGCAGGGAAGTGGTGGAGTCCCCATCCCTGGAGGTATGTAAAAGATATGTAGGTATGGTGCTTGGGGACATGGTTTTGTGCTGGACTTGGCAGTGTTTGGTTTACAGTTGGTCTCTATGATCTTAAAGGTCTTTTCCAACCAAAACAATTCTATGATTCTGTTTCTTAGGAGTCTGTAAATGCAGACACCAAACTGATGCATTAGATCACTGGGGCTCAACGCCAGGCACGGGGAACCACTCTCTAGAGACACATGCTGCTGAAATTCACACAGAATGCTCCTGCTTTCCATTACAACTTGGGTCATCATAACAATGAGCTTATGGGAGTGTGATAGCTCAACCTTAACAAGCCTCCTCTATCAGTTTAGGGGTAAAATTCAAGTGGGGCCCTCCTGAATCTCCAGCTCTTCTCCGTGGAGTTACACCAGCAAGTGCAGCTCTCAGCCCACCGTATGTCCTACTTCCACCTGCCTCACATTTGATCCATCATGTCTGGACACAGACAAGCAATGTCCTGATCTGCACTCCCTGATGCACAGAAACTTCTCTCTAGTTCTCCCTACAGCTGCTGTTCTCCCTTGTCCTGAGTCCTTCAGTTCTTTCAAGTACAATCCCTGGCAGGGACTGTATTTATTTAAAAAACAAACTAGAAGTCCTTGAATTGAGTAATCATTTGGCAAGCAACTTTCTAAATTACAGATGTCTTCTTAGAGGCTTTATCCCTTTAATTATTCTTGTAGTATCATCTTTGTGAGCCACTGAAGTGGCTTCCAAGCTGCTGGCTCCTTTACAAACCAACATTTTCAGGATTATCATCTTTAAAGTCTCTTCCCAACTCTTTTTTCTTTAAACACTCGAGTCATTCACATGTTAAAGGTGCCTCTTAGGTACAGTTTTACCCAATGGTTAGACTAATAAACCTTAGGTCCACAGATTTATAAGCTGAGACTTCTCTTTAGTAAATACCTTTCAATTCAGAAAGCATCCCAGCAGCTCAGATGATAACTAAAAATGTGAGGGCAGCCAGTCAGCAACCCCAACTACGCCTGAGAACTCGGAGTCAGGAGAGCAATGTGACAGACAGCATTACTGTCACAAGTTCAAGCACTCTGAGCCAAATGCTATTATATCTCACACTCGAAACATGCACAACTCAGAGAAATAATTGAACAAATCTTCCTTCAATAGCTCTCCATCAAGCTGAGAAAAAGCAGAAGACATGAGTGTTATGAAGTTGGTGGATGGCTGATTTTAAAACAAAAAAACCCCAAAACACTCCAAAGGAAGTATGAATTCAGACTAGACATCCTCTAATTCAGGGCTTACAAATCTTGGCAACAGGAGGTGAGAACACATTAGAGCATTTGACTCAGAAGCCTGGATCAAGTTTACAAGCCGCAGGTTGGATTATCCCAACACCCTCAGAACTGGTTACCTCAGCAAGAGATACAAAGAGTTACTCAACAATTTCATAAAGTGCATTTCTTTAATTACAGTGGATCAGCCACTCAACTAGATTTTGGCTTGTTGAGAGGTGGTAAAGTCTGTGTAACAGCAAGAATTTGGTACTTCTGGAATCTGTTACACTGACAGGCTTGGGGAACAGATTGTTCTGATCGCTCGTTCAACAGTTGCACAGCAGAAGTGGTGCTGGCTCTGGGCACACTTGCTGTCATCATGACTCTGTAAGGAAGGAGGCGGCCCACCACCCAGAGACAGGACAATGTGGTTTCTGCCATCCTTTCAGCATGAAGTCTCTTGGCAGACAAAGCAAGTAAGGGTGCCAGCAGTGGCTTTACAAGTCTCGTCTTGTTCTTACTACTGTGAGCGAGCTCATGCCACGTACGCTCCCAAACAAGCAGATTAGTTTTTTCTAGGACATAGATTACTCATTCCATCACCCAGAACCAGTTTCATTGCATACACTTAGAATCACAGAATGGTTTGGGTTGGAAGGGACCTTAAAGATCATCCAGTTCCAACCCCCCTGCCATCAGCAGGGACACCTTCCACTAGACCAGGTTGCTCAAAGCCTCATCCAGCCTGGCCTTAAACACTTCCAGGGAGGAGCAGCCACAGCTTCTCTGGCCAACCTGTTCCAGTGTCTGACCACCCTCACAGTGAAGAACTTCTTCCTAATATCTAATCTAAACCTCCCCTCTTTCAGTTTAAACCCATTTCCCCTTGTTTTGTCATTAATTGCCCTTATGAAAAGTCCTTCCCCAGCTTTCTTGTAGCCCCTTCAGGTACTGGGAGGCCGCTATAAGATCTCCCCGGAGCCTTCTCTTCTCCAGGCTGAACAGCCCCAACTCTTTCAGCCTGTCTTCATAGGAGAGGTGCTCCAGCCCTCGGATCATCAATCACTTAATAAGTGAGAAAATAAATATAAGTGAGAAATAATAAGTGAGAAAATAAATCAGTTAATAAGTGAGAAAATAAAACAAGCAGACATCTCATGAACTGTACAAAGTCTAGAGCACAAGTTGGTTTTTTTTCATTAAATGAACAGATTCATTAAATGAACAAATGAAAATCTGTTCATTTAAGTACCACACACTTCCTTCAGGTACAACCATGACTCAAAAGCAGCTTACCATCCCGTTCTTCTTATGATAATAGCTGAGGACTGGGAAGCGACTGCCGTGGCGAAACATGGCAACTTTCCGAAGAGCTTCATCATCGATGGCTTTGGGGACAATGACAACCGGAGGGTAGGAGGGACAGACAGAGAATTCCTTATTGATGCAGCTCAGACGCCATTCGTCTGTCTGAAAAAGATTAGAACATAACAGGCTTTGGGTCAGGAAACAGATTACAACTGTTACAGCATGACATACTAGGGAAGAGGAACTTCCATATTCAGGATAAAGCAAGCACAGAGAATTATTTCTTCACTGTGAGGGTGGTCAGATACTGGAACAGGTTGCCCAAGGAAGTTGTGGATGCCCCCTCCCTGGAAGTGTTGAAGGCCAGGCTGGATGAGGCTTTGAGTAACCTGGTCTAGTGGAAGGTGTCCCTGCTCATGGCAGGGGGGTTGGAACTGGATGATCTTTAAGGTCCCTTCCAATCCAAACCACTCTATGATTCTATATCCATGATCTATTCCATTTCCACCACGTTGTTTGACAGATACTAGGTGTATCCCCACCTAGTCCTTGGAGTAGCCATTTATAGGCCTGTTGACCTATTATTTTCCCCCCCCCATGCTTCTTGATGCTGCCTGCAATCATAATATCTTGTTGCAGATAAAGCTTGTAAGCAATGGAAGAAATTATCAGGTGACTCTGTTTCTTGAGGTGTAGGACCTGAACAACAGTTCCCCCATCTGATTTATACACATCCTCAACAAACAGGACAAAATAAGGGCAAGTGGAAGCCTTCCCTGGAAGTGTTGAAGGCCAGGTTGGATGAGGCTTTGAGCAACCTGGTCTAGTGGAAGGTGTCCCTGCTGATGGCATGGGGGTTGGAACTGGATGATCTTTAAGGTCCCTTCCAACCCAAACCATTCTATGGTCACAAATGGATGATGGTGGCTTTTAAATTATTTCACAGACACAGCAGACAGCATTGTCTGCAGTCCACACAATAGAACTTACTGCATTTGTAGACAGCTTCAATCTCATAGGAAGTAAGAGCACGATATGTCTCTCTCTCTCAGGGAGACCCCAGAACAGAAATTTATTCCTACATGAGCAGATTTAGAGGAAAAAAGGTTGATTTAGATGCAGGTAACACAGGTTCAAATCTCTTTGTGTGCTGAGAGCAGAGTTAGTAACGCTGTCCACAAGACAAAGGTGGCCAAGAAAGGCAAGAATGCCCACCAACTCCAGACAACGAAGCTGCTTTGAAGTTAAAATTACAATTTAACATTTCCAGCTTGGTTCTTTTCTATGGGTTCTGCTTTACACAAAGCACTAGAGATCTTTCATCAAAAGCACCTCCTGGAACCAGCACAGTATCTAAGCCCAAAGGTCTCATCATTAACTCCTGCTATATAATTTGTCAGCTTCCAAGAGCCAAACCCTTGTGAAAGAAGTGCTGAATCTTGGCGCTCTGCACTGGCAGGCACTTGGCACCAGAACTCAAGCTACCTGATATCCAGGGTCAAACACAGGACTTGGCTCCACCTCAGACAAAATCAAAGGTCAACCAGTGGCCTCACTGATGAGATGTCCTCACTCACTAAGTCCAGGCTGGAACAGCTGACACTGACCTAACTGCAGTCATGGAGGGATTGCTGCTTCTGGGTGGGTACCACACCACTGCCTCCTGCATTCAGGACACCATCCAGGTACACCAAATGGCCAAGAGGTGTATGTTTTCCCCAGGGGCACAGAGCAGAGCCTTGCCTAAAGTTTGGCAGGGAACTGAGCTCACTCACAGTCATTAGGGCCACAAAGAAGATGAGGGGCCTGGAGTATCTGCCTTACAGGGAGAGGCTGAGAGAGCTGGGACTGTTCAGCCTGGAGAAGAGCAGCCTGAGAGGGGATCTGATCAATGTCTATCAAGATCTGAAATGTGGGGGCCAAATGGATGGGGCTGGGCTCTTCTCAGTGGTGCCCAGTGACAGGACAAGGGGCAATGGGCACAAACTGGAACAGTGGAAGCTCCAGACAAACTGAAGGAAAAACTTCTTTCCTGTGAGGGGGTTGGAGCCCTGGGACAGGTTGCCCAGAGAGGGTGTGGGGTCTCCATCTCTGGAGATGTTCAAACCCACCTGGACACTTTCCTGTGCAACCT